TTTAGTTTAGTGCTGTTACTATAGTGAGCGTAGTGGTCCAGCTGCCCAGTAACTAGTGTGGATGCATTTGTTTAGTGGTAACTATAGTGATCGCGCGCAGTGTTCGAGTGGTTTAGTAACAGTTAACGCAGTGGTACAATGGTAATAAGATGAACACACTTGTTCTGTGGTAACTATAGTGAACGCGCGAGTGGTTTAATAACAGTGAACGCAGTGGTAGCTTGAGAAGTGTATATCTCTTTAGCCTTTGACGTTGAAAAGTTCGGGTCTTGGAAAGTTATTAATTAAAATAAAAACAAAACAACTGTTCTTTCTCTTCGTTTAATGACGATTTAAAATACCATGGCATTGTTCATTTATATCACAACACTTTTTATGTAAATACATAATGCTGAATAGATATAATCAGTAAGCTGATTTGTTTTATGTTATGTCATTATATGTTTACTTATTCCATCGTTGGTTTAATTAATTAAATTGAGAGTATTAGAAAAAGTAGAGCATATTTTGACATTTTTTAAAAACCGACTTAAAGAATTGTGATAGAAATGATACAATCATGTATTTTAATTATTCAAAATGTGTTTTAAGACTACATGTATTTGTGTAGATGATAAGCAATAAATGAAAAATCATAACAAAATGTCAATGGTTTATTTTCATTGTAAGATGTATTTGTCATGAATAATGAATTAAACATCCAACGCCTCCCTAGAGTCTTGCTGATTCAAATAAAATTTTAGAAAAATGTTTTGAAAAGTAAAAAATTATTGTCAAATAATTATTACAAATGCAACCAAATTTATCTACGATGTACCAAGCCCAAGCATTTAAAAGCCACATTTTATACTTTAAATGTGTCGACATATTAAAAATGTGAAATAACGGACTGATAAAGTATACATGTACATAAGCTTAGCAAAAAAAGGAGGGAACGTTTATTATATCTTCCGCTTGTTGCTAAGTGGTCTGAAGAATGCCATAAACCTGATTTTTATTCGACATACCTAAAAAATAATCTGTTTTTTTTTCTTACTGTAAAGGCCAGGGTGCGTTTCATAAAGAATCGTAAGTCTAAAACATAAGATTAAAGTTTGGACTGGAATAAAATTATATATATTATGCAATTAGTAGTGTAGACAAGCGACATCTGTTTAAATGGTCAGTCGAAAATACATATTATTATTATTATTAATATTATTATTATTAATATTATTATTGTTATTATTATTATTATTATTATTATTATTATTATTATTATTATTATTATTATGCAAATATATAAACTATATGTGTTTCTTAAATCAATTGTCAGCATAAAAACCCTCTTATTGTGCAACATACTTTCTTACTATTTTCATCCATATCTGCACATATACTGTAGTTAAAAGTCCATTAGGCTTTAATCTTATTTCTTAAAAGCCTCTTTTGTTTGGTGTACTTCTAATTTCTAAAATGTTACTCATTGGCCAAATACTTGAACCATGTTTTGTTTCTGACGACTTTTGGTAATTAGTAATGTTATAGTAATTTAGTATTTTGTATGGAAGTCAAAATTCTACTTTGTTTACACTTTGCTACTTTAATGACATATAAGCATATTCCCAGCAAACACATGACGTTAAAATAACGTCGGATTATTGTTAGATTTTGGTCACGACGTCGGCGACCATAATACGACGTAAATCTGACGTTAAAATACCGATGTATAATAGACGTTTCTTTTTGACGTCGTACTAACGTCAGGTTCTGGTCGGTGTCCTGACGGTAGGTAAAAAAACAACAAAAAATAATCCTTATTCGCTGTTGTTATCATTTAAACTTTTTTTCAAATGTTATTTGGTTACAAATGAAGTGTTCTTATATAAATACAAACCAAGATCGCGGCGCTGCAACCTAATAAAACATATAGGTGGCGCTGTATATAGGCAAGTTACATGTGTTATTGTTATGAAATCTATTTATAGCCACAGATCTGTTTACAAGTTCCAAACATTTAACGTTAGAATATTATCATTTGTGGTACATTATATGTATAAAAATCACGAGTTTTTTAATAGTGCTTTAACATTTAATCATAGTGACAGAAAAGGGAAAGAAAACATAATAAACCTATAATTCGAATCTAAAGTCACGTGGATGGAAATTCAAATTCGTATGCGTTACGTTTTGGCTGTCGGTCAGGAATCGGGATGCATTGATAAAGTGAATATTATAGATTTTCCTGAACAAAAAGGTCAGTTCAATTTATTTAGATTTATTTCTACTTTGTATTTGATAAATAATTGCACGATTGCAAGCACTCTTAAATTTAATTATCATTATTTGAACAGCTGAAGGAAAATGTCACACAAATTCGCGATAATATCTAATAATAAATCTTTTTAAAATTGACATGTTTTAACTCTGCTTGTGAAGAGTTTATAATATGCCTTTCAGTACTACCAAAGAGAATGCTTAGTTTTCATATTTTTCTTAAACTGTGATGTTTTTGTCAGTTAAAATCTGAGAATTGAGAATGAATTTGTACGATTTCGAGCATTTCGGACCAAGACGTTTCGGTCCCAAATAACCCAAAACGTTCCGGTCGCAAATAACCCAAGACGTTTTGGTTCCAGACATTTCGGCATTAAATCTTTAATTTAAAACTATGAAATATTTAAGACTTGCGTAACTGTTCTATTATATACATAAGTTAGAATATAATTTTCTTTTCAGGTAATTAAAGTGTTGGACATTCTCTCAAAGGTCGGAGGGACGGAAGCACGTGAATATGTAAAAAGAAACATATGAAAGTAAGATTTTTGTAAATTCTATTACATACTTTAGTCCATACTAAACTGGAGTTTAAATGCGGCTTTTTAAATGTTCAGTATTTATGTTTACTGTTAATTTTTGTTAAAGCTCTCTTATAAAAAGTTGGCAAAATTGTTCATTAAGTTTAGATAACCATGAAAACATTTTTGCTTGTTATTTTTACATGTTTCATAAATTTCTTTTTTTTAGTGAAAATGATGTCACACACGCTATTGGACGCTACAAACGCTACATATCCTCCGGACAGACGAGGGGTGCTGAAAGAAGGTCATATCTTAAAGCATCACACCTCAAAATTCGTGCTAATTCTCATGGATATCTAAAAGTATAACTTTGTGAAGTAACTAAAAGGCAGCAATTTATACATTACTGACAATTATCAAAGGAGGTCAAAATATGCAAAATGGCACTAAATGTTTTAGAAATGCTGTAGAAATATAGTTAAAATACTGAAAATCTGTCATTAATTGCTTGAAACATTATTATCAGAATTTTTTAACTTTTCTTAAAATTATAATATTTTCATTATTTTATTTGATAAGGCAAACTTTGATAGAAATGTGCATACATTGTTTTGTTCTTTAATATTTGTACATGTTTTCTTAGTTTCATTTATGTCATTGTTTTTGTAATACTTTTTGTTTTGTAATTAACTTATTTTATGTTTTATTTTGTTTAATTTATGAAAATTATTTAACCTTGCAGAATTCACTAAAATTGTATGTATCAGCTTAAAATTGCAACTTTTATTTTAAATTAAAAAAACATAAAACATATTTTTGCTTTTAGTTTTCTGTTATACATTTCATTGGAGGGAAAGTTACTTAATAGAATGAGTTACATTAAATTTGATCAAATCAGGATTAGCCAGAAAATATTTATGACATGGTGAAACAAAAACGATTAGGGGAATGATCAGATGAAGGTTAGAAAATGATCAGATTTAGGGCAGAAAAGGGTTAATATTTAGGTCGGAAAATGGTCAGATTGAGGTCGGAAAATGGTTAGAAACTGGTTAGATTTAGGTCGGAAAATGGTCAGATTGAGGTCGGAAAATGGTCAGATTGAGGTCGGAAAATGGTTAGATAATGGTCAGATTTTGGTCAGAAAAAGGTTAAATAATGGTTAGATTCTGACGTTTACCTGACGTCAGATTATTACGTCAAAAAAACTTTCAAATCCAACCGTTTTTCCGACCGTCATCCGACGTCAGAACCTGACTTAAATCTGACGTCAGTATGACGTCTTGTGTTTGCTGGGTTAAGTGCTACATTCTTTAACAAGCTTTGAACATGCTTTAAAACCATTAATTGAACATTTTACAACTCATGCTTGCGCTTTCTTAAGAAGTAAAAAAAGTAGTTTCTGAGGCTTAATGTGCCTTTAAGACAATGTATCATACACCAACCTCCCTCATTAAAGATTTAAAACCTAATGCTTCAGTCACACTACACCGTATAGCGTTAACGGACGTCCAACGCATAACAAAATTTTCAATCCGTCCATGTCCGTTCGCATGCGTTTCTTTTCCGTTTATCATGCGGCGTTTGCGCTTCTTGTCCGGCGGTGTCCGGCGGTGTTCGTTCCGTTCGGTGGAAAGTTTTGAACATGTTCAAAATTTGGAACGTACACCACCGGATAAAGTTGTCCGTCAGATGTACGGTAACCATGCGCTGGTATGCGTTTTGTTCGTTACTCGTACGTTCCTTATTCTGTACTTGCCCGTTTCGATTCCGTTCTTGTCCGGTGGACCTGATTCACGGCCGGACTACTAACGGACATGCAGCGGATGTAACGTATGTTAAACGGACGATAACGAACAAGAGACGTATAAGAACTGATAAATAACAGACATGAATCGATGGTCCACCGCACAAAACTGATGATGAATAAAACGAGGTTTCCCTGGTTATAACTGTCATATATTTTCCTGCATTTCAAGTGTAAGGACCTTCTGAAACTTTGATAGTTTGAGTTACTGATCCACATGTCATGGAGTGTCGCGTTAGAGTCCGCCTGCATTATCAAGCGGCCGTGATCCAGGCACGTATTGACCTGTTGCGAATGTAGATATTGTCGCTTATGAAAATAGGAGAAGAAGGAGGCGACTGCGGAGGTGGTGGTCAAAGGCTTGGCTGGGTCCGGAGAGACGTCGAATGTTTGGTCTCTACGATCAACTCATGATGGAGCTGCGGAGAAAAGACCAGCGGTCAATTACGAACTTCATGAGGATGCCTCCTGAGATGTTTGATGAGATTCTGGAACGAGTGGGTCCCAGAATAACAAAACAATATACCACATACAGAACCCCTCTTGACCCTGGAATGAAGTTAGCCGTTACACTCAGACATCTTGCGTCAGGGTCAAAGTATTCCAACATGCGGTTTGCCTGGAGGATACCTCACAACACCATCTCTGTCATCGTGCGAGAAGTAAATATTTTTATTTTCCCATGATTCTGAATGTTACATGTATATAATTTCTGGTCTTTTAAAATATCAATAATTTGCTTACATGATTATTTCTACTTTTAAAATCGCATTTTTATTTACATTTTCAGGTGTGCAGAGCAATTATAGACGAGTATGTGGACGAGGTCATGCCTTTGCTAACAACAGCTGCTGACTGGAAACGCATTTCAGATGGCTTCTTGGAAAAATGGAACTTTCCTCACACTTGGGGTGCGTTGGATGGCAAGCATATTGCCTGTAAGTGTCCATCTAGTTCCGGGTCCACATATTTCAACTATAAGAAGTACTACTCCATTTTCCTGCTGGCCCTCGTTGACTACGACTACAAGTTCATTTGGGCCGACATCGGAGGCCGCGGTGCTGCATCTGATGCTCAGTTGTGGAACGAGTCCGACCTTAAAGCTGCAACTGAGGACGGGGAACTTGACCTGCCGGACCCCGAACCCCTGCCACACGACACGCAGGATGTGCCATTTTTACAGACGGAGGTTCTTCCTCATTAACTTCAATGGTTTCTTGTTCTTGAACAGCATCCTTATCAGGGGGAGGAGAGGGTGACCTTGGAGTATTCCTCCGTCCCCTGGCCTTACCCTTCCCAGCATTGGCAGCCTTGGCTTTTGGCATTTTGGAGCACGTGTGTGATCTTTGAGAGCGTGGAAACTATTATGACGAAACGAAAAAAAATATCTGACTATTTATACCAGTTTTGTCCGTCACATGACCGGTAGAAATACGCTCGTCGAACGTTCAAAGACCGTTTTGTCAGTTCTTCATTCGCTACGTGTACGTTTTGTGCGGTACAAATCCGTTACTAGTACGGTGAAGTCCGTTAACTGTACGTCGTTCATCCGGTATATGTGCGTTGATCGTTCGGTCATTGTGCGTTTTGTACGTTTTATGCGCCCCGTACAGCGATCATGAGAGCACCGAGCAGCAGCGGGAAATGCTTTTCATCACCGGATAACTTTCAGCCGCATTTTTCTTTGCGTTTGGCGTCCGTTAACGCTATGCGGTGTAGTGTGACTGAAGCATAAAGTACCCTACGACTGCAAGACTATGAAAGATTATGTAAACTTTGTTTCGAAATAGAATACGAATACGATTTCTTAACTCATCTCTCCGGTAAATTTAAATGCCCTTCAACTAATTTTGACATGGCCATTGGGGGGAGGGGACACAGAGACGGGACTGATATGTTAAAATAGGTACTCCATTCTGTTAATGTATTTACGAGTATATTATGGACGTTACAAACAAAGCAAGTTGAATTACAACGAATGCGTCACCTGGTACAAACTTGCATAAAAATGAGATCTCGGTTAAAATACGGAACCGTGTAAATATATTAGTTTTTTTGTTGTTTTTTTTGGATAATATTTCGTAGAATAAAAAGTTCTGAGCATGATATTGAGTTTGATCAAGCGTATTGCGGCGGCACCGGCTTCATTTTATATTGTTTGTACGGCTCCGCAACCTCTTTCTTCTCCATGTCCCACTTGATCCTTAAACTGTCGAACAGAAGGCACATCCCCGCAAAAATTTCAAAAAATCCTGACACTACAACGAGACCGAATGACCAGGAGAGGTAGTTTTGGTCAGGCCGTGGAAACCACTGTCTGTCAACGTCCGACTTTATCCCGAATAAAGTAACACATAATGACGTCATCACACCTGAAAAAAAAATGAAAGTTTACAATTTAGTAAATATTTAGGCGGTATTACATAAATAACAAATTATGCTACATTCTCAAAAATAAATGAATATATATATAGATTTGCGGTACTTTTATTTAAATTTTCCAATTAATCTACATATAGGATAATTGCGTAAGAATTATAAATGCAAAGGGAGACAATTTTGGATTACTTCTATGCAATCTCCTACGCAGTGATCTCCCCTTATCGTTACATTTCTGCGAACGGAGGCAATCACTGTAAGGAGTTTGACTATTATGTTTTTTATTTATCTCCCTTCCTAATAAACCGAGAATATTCAAGTTTTTTCTATAAATACAGGATTTATTTTCATTGAGTGGTATGAAAATATATATTTTAAGAGCCACGAGTGAAATGTGATTATTTTCATACCACAAGATGAAAAAAGTCCTGTAATTATAGAAAAAAACTTGAATTTTCGGTTTATTACATACATTTTTCTTCCTTTTTCTGACATTACAATTTGAAAAACTTTCCATTAAATTTTGTATATTGACTGAATTTAGGAGAAAGTAGATCGGCAAGACACCAGTGAAAATAAAACGGAAAATATGTTTCACTGCAGTGAAATTTTTTTTGTTTAAAGTGAAAATACGGAAAATGAAAATAAGCATTTTATTTCATCAATATTTCTCAATATTTTATTTATAAGTATATAATAAATAATAATGATGTTAAAGCGATCAGTTGACATAGATGTTCGGCCATTAAATTACTGTTTAGTGTACTAATTAAACCAGCCAATACTCACCTGACGTGAACATTCCCATTGACGTTAAAAACTGGGAGAAAAATTTCGTGTACACAAGACCTTTCCCCAATCGGCCGAGAACCAGTATCAATGACGTCAGACAGTTGACGATGAGAACCAGCGTCATGATGACTTGAACAACCAGGAACCATTCTGTTGTGAAAAATTAAACAATAATGATTATGATATGTTTTTGGAGCATTTGAGACCTCGCAGACATAAAAAATTCCTGCATTATTTTCACTATTGACTTTTATATAGTTCCTTACAGAGGAAACCTATATGTAGAACTCTATGGGTAGATCGGGGGGAGGGGCGTGTGACGTATAAAAATCCGTCGATGTTACTTTAATACGACCATTGTTAGTTTAATGAAAACTTTTCAATTCATATATTTTTTTTTGTTTATTAATGATTACAATCCCTTTAATATATATTTCTTTGAAATTGCGATAAAAGCTTTTAAAATAATCAAAAATCGATATTTACATAAAAAATTAAACATTGCAAGTTTTATATAACAGTATATACACATTTCAAATTACTAATAAATGCGTCAATATTAAGGATTGTACGGATTTTGCACATCTTATATGGTTATATTTAACGGGAGTTATTTCGTCAATTACATCTCATTTGTCAAAATAATATGTTCTATATTTAGATAGTGGAAATACATTATTTGGCAACATACACATTTTCTGACAACATACACATTATCTGGAAAAATACACATTATCTGGCAATACATATACATGACATTATATGGCAACATAAACGTTATCATACCATTATCATAAATTCAGTTTTTATCTAAGTCAAACAAATATCTCTATAATCGTAAAGTATTTCAGTAACTGATAGCGTACAAGTTTATAAACCGACTAAGGTTTCAAGTTGTTTGACTTTTTGTACGTTATGCTTTACACAGTATGTAATTTAAGCACTAAAATATGACAGCTTGAAAAAGTATAGAAGAATTTAACAGTCTATTTGTTAAATGGGGCTCACAATGGGACATGTACCATTTATTCATAGTTTAACTATGACTAGGTGTATATGAAATATAATTAATTATGACAGTATGGTAATTGTTCTGGTACTGTCAACCTGTCGGAAGTTATGTGCAGCTAACATGTGCGTTTTAACGCCTCAAGCTCTATCATAGTTTAGATCTGACGGCATTACATATTCAAACATTGACAACATAAAATGAGTATGTACATGATAATTTTAATGGTAGTTATTTCAGAATTATTTGTGAATAATGATTATATATACATAATGATTATATGTTGTTATATACATGATGATTATAATGTTGGTTATATATATTTCATATATGAATATAGCTAACTTGTTTCAAATTACGACGGGCAGATAATATTTGTTTAAGGAATAATGAAATATGTGAATCATCATCATTATCATCAACATCATCATAATTATCATCATAATCATCATCATCATTATCATCATCATCATCATAATTTTCATCATAATTATCATCATCAATAATATCACTTTCATTATGATTGTCATAACTATGATCATCATTATCATTATTATTTCTATTTATTTTCAAAATTTTCTTTATAGTAGCATTCATTTACTTTTACCAGTATAATAAACTAAAACAGTATTTTTTCATTCTTGTGTTTTAATGTACATGTATATAATCATGATCACTTTAAAGTCGAAACCTAGACAAGTTCCAAACATTTATTTAGTGGCTGCGTTCGATTTGAAAAATTTCTCACAACGAATGGTTCTCACAACGAATGGTTCTCACGACATGAATAATTACAAAATTATTACAATAATTACAATGCTGTTTTCTACAGTTACAGAATATTTTCAAAGAATCGAATACTTTCTTCTTATAAAGTATGAATAAAATATTTTAAGTTTAAAAATTTCATTTTTTTATGAAATAATTATTTATATGTAACATGTAGTTTCAGTTTTCACGACTAATGGTATTGTAGCAAGAAGATAAATTTCAATATCATATGTGCATATATGCAT